AGGTGTCCCATACTCACTGGCCTGATGCTCTTCTTGCCCCAAACGTGAACGCTTATGACATTGTCTCCCTTAGGCTTCCCAGTCCTTCTGATCTGCTGTTATCCCTTTTTGACAATGAAAACACTGAAATAAAAGAAGCTGAGTAACTGTTTTTGTTTTTGTTTTTGAGATGGAGTCTCATTCTGTCACCCAGGCTGGAGTGCAGTGGCGCGATCTTGGCTCACTGCAGTTTCCGCCTCCCAGGTTCAAGTGATTCTCCTGCCTCGGGCTCCCGAGTAGCTGGGACTATAGATGTGCACCACCATGCCTGGCTAATTTTTGTATTTTTAGTAGAGATGGGGTTTCACTGTGTTGGCCAGGCTGGTCTCGAACTCCTGACCTCAAGTGATCCATCCGCCATGGCCTCCCAAAGTGCTAGGACTACAGGCGTGAGCCACCGCGCCCAGCCTGAGTAATTTTTCAAAGCCACCAGTTCATAAGTGTTCATACTCTGACTTCTGTGATCTTTCATTTCTACCTTTCTGCCTCCCAGGATAGCATATTCACTCAGCTGAAGTTGTCTCAGCCACAGTTTTGGGGTTCTGTCAAGATAAACGGTACACCAGAGGGACTCCTTGATGCTTTGCCTTCATCCTTCAAGCTTGGCAATACTGCCACGTTCTGCGTACTTAGGGGATACTTCTCTGGAGCAGCATTCATCATGATACCCAACACTGATGCAGCAGGTTTTCAACCTGTAGTTTGTAGCCATTTATCAGTTCCTGTGATGTCAGCTATTATCTCATGTTACAGATGAGGCAGCTGGTAGAGAGAGTGGTTAGGTAATTTTTCTATGATCAGCAATGAATCCCACGAGAGAGCTGGGACTGAACCGGTCCATCCTAGGCATAGCTTACAACAACAGGGCTTTGCTAAAAGTTGTTCAGGAATCTCAACTCCCCTCATCACCTGCATTGTAAAAAAAAAAAAAGATATTTTATCTCACCTGTGTGGTTATCCATAGTGTGTTATAAAACCTGGTAGCAGAAAAGAAAACAAAAGGTCAAATCAAAGATTATATGCACAAGAAGTATGTTTTTAACTAAGTTGTTCAAACCATAAAGCTAAGACCATTTGGGTTTAAAATGGCGAATAACATTTTCTTTATAAAAAATTAAATCAAGAGGGTTAGGCAGAAGGAACCAGCCTATTTGGGGAAGGCTGTCAAGCAGTAGAAGGTGATGTGAATGTCTGTGTGTTCTTTCGGCTGGTTTTCATTTCACTAAGGAATAGCTTTTTTGGAGTACCTTAATCTATAACCACACAAAATTGGCTAACTTTAAAAAGTGGAAGAGGGAGATATGAAATTATCCCATGAAAAGTCTTATTTTTGAACACTAACATTATAATGGAAATAGCCTCAGATTTCATCTGGTGGCATCCCAGCATTATTGGACAATTTATATTCTCTTTAAGTGACATTTTAATAATATAGTGTTTTATATGTAATGATGTTTCTGGAGTAACGAGTATGCAAGCCGTTAAAGAGAGAGAAAGTACACTTAATATGTAGGCAGGTGTCTCAACACTTTCTTTTTTGTATGTGAAACCCATTATCTTCAGTGATAACTTTGTTGATAGCACCCACAAATATATTCGGAACAAGGTTTTATAAAATAGATCCAGAATCGTATGACTAAAAGACCCAGCTGACACGTGTCAGCCTCAGATAGTTGCTACATTTTCTGTTTTAAAGACTCAAACAAAACTTTTCACATTCTTCTTTGGGGGAAAAAAATTACATTTGAAGTCCTTTTTTACCCAAACACATTTTGAGATAAGAGCTCACAAGTCTTGACATTATTTCATTTTGTTATGCGCATCTGTCAAGGAACCAAGATACGATACAGCTACTAAAAACTGATGATTGTGGAACAGAGAAACTTGACAGCATTTCATTTCCTTTATGTTCTGATTATACATTTATCAGAAAACCTGTATCTCTTCTAGTTCAGCTAGAAATTGGTAGAATTCAGGAACTCAAAGGCTTGGCAAAGAACTGTCCTATTATTTGGTATCACCTTACATTTTAGAGAAGTTGCTTGGTTGAGTCATTGTTAAAGCTTTTGCTTCTCTTTTCATTATTGTGGACCACTCTCCACGGACCCCATTTCTATAGGCTCTATAACTGCTTTGCCGCACAAATTAAACGCCGGGATGTTTCATATATATACGCCAGCATTTCAATGCTTGTCAATCAGAGTTTATAAAATACAGGGATTACAACTTGATATTAACATCCAAATCTATTGTGCTGATTTTATGTGTGAAAATGAGAAACCCTCATGCAGACGCTAGATTTCCCAGCCTCTTTGTCACCCTGTTTTAAATTTATCTCTAGGTTTTGAGTCAGTAAAATGATTCTGCCTGTCTGTTTATTACAGAGATAAAGCATATCTATGAATCAGAGTGATCAGAACTCAAATACATCTACAGGTTGTTTCGCATTCAGCCCAGCCCTGCTGAGGGTTTTAGTGAGGCTGATTCCTCTGTACAGTATATTCATGCCTGGTCTTAAATTGTGCCTCAGTGAGGGATATGATTTGCTTCTCATGAAGAAGCGGACACAGAAGTGCATTGTTTTAGGGAAGAGGACTTTAAAATTTTGAAACGTTCTTTATATGCTTACTTTCTTTTTTTTCAGGTATACTTCAAAAGAAATTATCCACCTATCGGTCACACTGACCATGTGGTCACAAACGCTTCCAATGAACAGCCCTCGACCTTAGCTATTTTTGAGACTGTACTATGAATCCAACCAAGATGTCAAGTGTGTTCCAAAAGCATTTTCCGCTAGTTTTTGGACTATGTAAACTACGTTGTACTTTTTTTTACTTTAGCAACAAATATTTATACATACAAGATGTTCATTTGAATTTTTCTCCTGACTTATCCAGTGATCTCCAGCTCTAACAAAATGTTTTATTTTTATTTAAATGTCAACCGTTGTTTTTTAAAATCCAAATCAGAGGCGTAGGCCACCAGTTAAATGCTGTCTATCAGGTTTTGTGCCTTAAGAGACTACAGAGTCAAAGCTCATTTTTAAAGGAATGGGACATAGTTGTCATAGGTTTTTGTTGTTGTTGTTTTTACTGCCCCCAAAATTACGTGTTAATTTCCAGTTATATCAGGGATTCTATTTACTTGAAGACTGTGAAGTTGCCATTTTGTCTCATTGTTTTCTTTGACATAATTAGGATCCATTATTTCTCCTGAAGGCTTCTTGTTAGATAATAGTCCAGTTAAAACCAATAGGAACAACCAAAAACAAGTTTGCAACATTGTAGTAGGGAGAATGTACCCCCTACTCCCCTCAAAAGAAAAAAATGGATATATGGTTAAAGGATAGAAGAACAATATTTTATCATATGCTCTGAAAGAGAAGGAAGAGAAAATACTGCCTTCTCAAAATGGAGTCCTTAAAGGTGCTTTGATACTGAAGGACGCAAGTGTGACCATTAGAGTTGCATGACTTGGACATGGGAACTTGCAGTTTTAGACTCAGCAACGTGACATCTCCCAAGAAGGCCAGACCTCTAGCTGACATTCCTGAAATACACGGCATTATTCTTTTTTGGATTTCTTATGTATAGAAGGCTAACCCTCTGTTGACTATAAGCTTTTTGGGTTAGGCTTTATCGAAATCCTTCCTAAATTGCATGAACAGGCTTTGCTAATGTGATGAGACAAACTGAGAACTGTTGCAAGCATTGACTCTTAATTCTGTAGTGCATTCTCAGGATGTATCCAGGGGTTCACTTTCATGAGCCTGTTCAGGTTAGTTTACTTCCGATCACTAATAGCATTGTTATTTGCCCTTTCTGTTGAATGAATCAGCAAACCACAACACTTCCTGGGACCTGTTGTACTTTATTTGAAGTATGAGCCTTTAATTTTTCTGGATGGTGGTGACTGTGATGTGCTGAGTTCAGTTTACTAAAGGTTTTACCATTATGGTTTGAAGTGAATTCTCATGACCTCTCAGTATAAGGCGTTACCTCCCTGAAATTGCATATATATGTATAGACATGCACACATGCGCATTTATGTGTATACATATATGTGCCCTTCATATAGCAAATTTTTTGATTCATCAGCAGAGAGAAACAGGTTTTATTGAGTGAAGCCTTAAAAAGCACACACGCAGCTAGCTACCAAAATACATTGACTGTAGTGACTGTTCAACTTCTAGTACTTTGAAATGTGTGGTTAATGGTCTGTCCAATAAACCACACACATTAAATGTTTATTAATAGTCATGATTCATATTTTAGGTGACCAAAATGACAGCAGTGATCATACTGAGGTTTGTTAAAACGTTAGCTATATTTGAAATGTCTATATGTTTATTTGGTCTTTTGAGGTTAAAGACAGTCATATAAATGACCTTTTTTTGTTTTAATGTTATCATAGAATTTTTTAATGAAACCAAATTCAATTGAAATAAATGATAGTTTTCATCTCCATTCAGAGATCTGTATTTCTGTGCTTTGAGGGATTCCTGACTCATGTTCTTGCTGATGAAAGCCAGTAAGTTCTCCTGAGATTGAAAAATACGAGATCAAAGGATACCTTCTATAATGAACCGGTTCTCTTGGTGAATTAGGTGTACCAAATATTCTAAGGGGGAGATTTCAGTGGGTTTCAGAGAGGTTGAAGCAGTTGCTATTTTAACCAAGTCCATTTGCACCCTTCCAGGAAGAAAGAGTGTTAGCTTATGTCTCAGACTTGAGCAGTATTAAATGGTTACGGTTTTTGTTGTTTTGTTTTTTAAGGTGATTTTGTCCAAAACTAACAAGAAACATCTATTGCTGTTACACTTAAATCACTATTAAATAATGATTCTCAAAGTGTTGTCCCTGGACCAGCAGCATAGTGCATCACCTGGGAACTCATTAGAAATGCACGCTTTTGTGCCTCACCCCAGATCTACTGAATCAGAGACTCTGGTGGTGGGGACCACTAATGTGTGTTTTAACAAGCCCTAAGGGTGATTTTTTTTTTTAAGGGTCATGGTAATCTTCTCTGTATCATTCCAATTTTACTTTATGTGCTGCCGAAGTGAGCACCGTAAGGGTGATGCAGGCTGAAGTCTGAGAATGAGCACCATAAACTATAAAGAACTCTTAAAACTCATTAAGAAAAACAGAAAGCCCAATTAGAGAAATGGACAAGATTTTTGAATGGGTATTTCACAAAAGAGAACATCCAAATGGCCAATAACTGGAAAAGTAGTCACTCTTTATTAGTTACCAGGGAAATGCAAATTAAAACCACTCTGAGATACCCACTGGGATCTACCACACTAGACACCCACTGGGATGTCTAAAATGTAAAAGACTGAGAACGAAGTGCCAGTGAAGCAACAGGAATCCTCAAGTACTGCTGTGTAAGTATATTGAAAAACCATCTTTGGAAAACAGTTTGACAGCATTTACTCAAACTGTGTACCCTGTGATCCATTTTTGCCACTCCAAATGTGTACATATGTGCACCAAGACATGTTGTCAAGGATGTTGTAATTCCTAATAGCCCAAACTGGAGGTAATGCAAATACTCATCAACAGCAGAAGGAAAACAAATCATGAGGTGTTAAAATACTCTACAGCAATGAGAGCAATTCAACTACATGAAGAACTCATGAATTTCACAGACGTAATATATATTCCAAAGAAGCCCAGCCCAAAAGAATATTTATGATCCCATTTATATAAAATGCAAAAATGTTACAACTGAACAAAGGAGTGCAACATCAGAACAGTTCATAACTTTGGGGAGATGGAAGGTTTTGGTAACTGGGGGAAATACAAGAAATACACATGAATCTTCTAGGATACTTAAAATGTTCTTGTTTGTTTGGCTGGGTGGTGATTAGATTGTTATTCATTGAACACTTTGATGTGTCATACATCACAAATGAGTTAACTATTTAAAAAGTTATTCTTGGCCTTGTGTTTCCTTTAGAATCTCAGATTCAGTGCCTCAGCCTTCTAAAAGGGAATAATTTACATGTGAGAAATTACTTCTGCCCAGTTCTTAAAATAAGAGCCTCTGTGAGCGTTGTCTTTTGTGGCCCATCGCAGCTGATGCATTTGATGGTTTTGGTACCTGAGAAGCCAAAGTCTCTATTTTCTGTAACCAATTAATAAACCTCAACTTCCTCTTCAATTTTAGGATAAGTACAAAAATAAGGAACTCTGAGGTTTTTCTGGATTCTATTTTTAACCACTTTATTGAAGTATGACTGACATACAGAAAATTATGCATATTTCATGTATATGCCTTGTGTTTGGAGATAAGTATCACCTATGAAACGATCACCACATTCTATGTCATAAACATATCCATCACCTTAAAGTTTCCACCTGCTCGTTTTCTATTTTTTAATCTCCATCAGAGGGGATGAGGTACATAAATAAAATAACTTCAGGGAATTGGTCTTGGCAAAGACGTATGGCTAAGACTTCAAGGACAGGCAACTTAAACATAAATAGACAAATGGGACTCTATTAAAAGCTTCTGCACAGCAAAGGAAGCAATCAACAGAGTGAAGAGACAGCCTGTTGAATGGGAGAAAGTATTTGCAAAGTGTTCATCCAGCAAGGGACTAATATCTAGAATATATAAGGAACTGCAACAACTCAGTAGTAAAAACCCACATAATTCCATTAAAAGGTGGGGAAATGGCATGAAGACATTTCTCAAAAGAAGACATACAAATGTCCAACAAATAAATGAAAAATGCTCAACATCACTAATCACCCAGGAAATGCAAATCAAAGCCACAATGAAATATCACCTTTCCCCAGTTAGAATGGCCATTATTAGAATGAGATAATAACAGATCCTAGTGACAATGCAGAAAAGAGGGAACTTTGATATACTGTTAGTGGGCATGTAACTTAATAGAATCTTATGGAAAACAGTATGGAGATTTTTTTTTCTGAGACGGAGTTTCTGTCTCCCAGGCTGTAGTACAGTGGCATGATCTTGACTCACTACAACCTCCATCTCCCAGGTTCAAGTGATTCTCCTGCCTCAGCTCCCGAGTAGCTGGGATTATAGGTGTCCAGCTAATTTTTGTATTTTTAATAGAGACAGTGTTTCACCAAGTTGACCAAGCTGATCTCGAACTCCTGACCTCAGGTGCTTTGCCTGCCTTGGTCTCCCAAAGTGCTGGGATTACAGGTGTGAGCCACCATGCCTGGCCTTATATAGAGATTTCTAAAAAAACAAAAACAAAACAAAACAAAAAATACCTAAAAATAGATGTACCATACAGCTGGATATGGTGGCTCACGCCTGTAATCTGAGCACTTTGGGAGGCCAAGGCAGGAGGATCAGCTGAGGTCAGGAGTTCAAGACCAGCCTGGCCAATATGGTGAAACCCCATCCCTACTAAAAATACAAAAAATTAACCAGACATGGTGGTGCGTGCCTGTAATCCCAACTACTTGGGAGGCTGAGGCAGGAAAACCACTTGAACACAGGAGACAGAGATTGCAGTGAGCTGAGATCATGCCACTGCACTCCAGCATGGGTAACAGTGAGACTCCATATCAAAAGTTAAAAAAAAAAAAAAAATTGATGTATCATACAAACCAGCAACCCCACTAATTGTATTTATCCAAAGGAAATCAGTATATCAAAGGGATGCCTGCCCTCTTGTGTTTATGATAGCACTATTCACAATGGCAGAAATATGGCATCAACCTAAGTGTCCATCAACAGATGAAAGAATTTTTTGCTGGGAGCAGCAGCTCACACGTGTAATCCCAGCACTTTGTGAGGCCAAGGCAGGCAGATAACCTGAGATTGGGAATTTGAGACCAGCCTGACCAACAAAGAGAAACCTGTCTATACTAAAAATACAAAATTAGCCAGGTCATACCGTAATCTCAGCTACTAGGGAAGGTGAGGCAGGGGAATCGCTTGAATCCGGAAGGTGGAGGTTGCAGTGAACCAATATGACATCATGGCACTCCAGCCTGGGCAATAAGAGTGAAATTCTGTCAAAAGGAAAAGAGAGAGAGAGAGTAAAGGAAGAAAGGGAGGAAAGGAGAGAAAGAGAAAGGAAAGGAAAGGAAGGGAGGGAGGGAGGGAAGAAAGGAAGGAAAGGAAAGAGAAAGTAAAAAAGGAAAGGGAGGGAAGGAAGGAGGGGAAAAAAAGAAAGGAAAGACAATTTTTTACTATATATATATATATATATATATATATATATATATATATATGCATGCACCATGCAATGCTATTCAGCCATTAAAAAAAAAAGAATGGAACCATGTCATTTGCAGCAACATGGATGGAACTGGAGGTCATTCTGTTAAGTGAAATAAAGCAGGAACAGAAAGACGAATGCCACATGTTCTCTCATACTGGAGCTAAAATGTTTGATCTCATGGAAATAGAGAATAGAGTGATAGATACCAGAGGCTGGGAAGGGTGTGTGGGTGAGAGAGGGAGGCTGGTTAATGGGTATGAACAGAGGTAGAAGAAAGAAGTTCTAATGTTTAATAGCAGCCTAGGGTGGCTATAGTTGGCAACAATATATTCTACATTTCAAAGTAGCCAGAAGAGAGGACTTGAAATGTTACCAGCACATAGAAATGATAAATACTGAAGGTGATAGATACCTTCAAATACCCTGGCTTGATCATTACACAGTCTATGCATGTAGCAAATACATGTATCCCATAAATATGTAATTTTAAAAATATATACCATGGGCTGGGCGTGGTAGCTAACACCTGTAATCCCAGCACTTTGGGAGGTGGAGGTGGGTGGATTATGAGGGCAGGAGTTGAAGACTAGCCTGGTCAACATGGTGAAACCCCATCTCTACTAAAAATACAAAAAAATTAGCCGGGTGTAGTAGTGTGCTCCTGTAATCCCAGCTACTCTGGGGCTGAGGCAGGAGAATTGCTTGAACCTGGGAGGCGTAGGTTGCAGTGAACTGAGATCACGCTGTTGCACTCCAGCCTGGGCAACAGAGCAAGACTCCCCCTCAAAAAAAAAAAAAAATATATATATATATATACACACACACACACACAGAAGAAATAATGCTAAATACTTTTAGTAACACTATATAAGTGGTTGGTGTCTTCTGAAGAAACAACTTTGATCAATGAGTCAGTGAATTAGATTTATTATTTAGTATTGTTACAATTTAGTGAGTTGAGTTAATGCTAATTTATCAGCTGATTAACTTGTCCTTATGTACTGCAATGAAAATCCGTGTTTTTCTTTCAGAGGATTTGTGGAGATTTCAGAAGCCTGTCTTCTCAAATCTCGGTATTTGTTTCAAATCCTGTTCTCAAAAGATTAATGATGTTCAGAATCTCATTCCTTGAAGTGTGTTAGATTTTACACCTGAATGAATGTGTAAGTCACTTCCCACAACCAATTCTATTTTAGAGTGGTTTCAAGGTGTGCCTTTACCTAGAAAACTGTATGACATTCTGGCCACTACAACTCAAAATAACGTCTTTATAATTCCACAAATGTGATTTACATTACTAACAGACTTATTTTACTAAAAGCAAAGACAGAAATCTTTCACCTGGAATGAAGAAAACTAAGAATGTTCAACAATTAAATCCCATTCTAAAATCCATGTCTATAGTCAACCCAACTTATTCACCAAATGATCTACTTATCAGATTTTCATTCTTTGAAAATAGAGTAAATGTGTGTCAATGAAATTCTTATATCCTACTTGATAAATAATATACTTATGGACTACATTATTCCCCAAATACAGATTGAAAAACAAATAGTTTTTCTCAAAAACTATCATAAACTCATGGTTTAGTTTCCACAAAATATAGGTGTTTTAATGGACATGTTAATCCTTATCAAATGGAAGTTTTCAACCCAGAGGGTAACTGCATTCACATATAGAGTCTTTGTTTCCACTATTTTATATTCTATTTCCGGATTTCAAAATAAGTGTTATGATTCTGCAGAAGCTGGGTGGGGATTGGGAAGAAATACGTCTTAGGAGTGTAACTAACAATTTTCAAGTAAAAATCTTCCTCAAGCCCCAGAAGCTTCTTTGATCTGTGCT